AAAGAGGGTTCTAAATACTTAAAAATTTACCTATTGGAACCTTTAAATAGTTGGTTTATGCTAGGGTTTAATTCTAAGGGGCATCATGAACATAAACATTATTAATGTGTATGCTGTCCGGAAGAAAGGAAGGGGATGGAAAGGCTAGTTGTTTCCGCTAATTCAATGAACTGATATAACGGATATTGTTGGGATTTTATAGCAATGATATCTAAGATATCTATGAGTCTTAAGAGGGTTGGTTGGGTTGTGGTTGTGGTTGACATGCAATTTTAAATAAATATAGTTGCATGCTGTAAGGAGTGGAGGAAGTTCTAACTACTGGGTTGTTTTCACCAGTAAAATGGGCTAGTATATTGTACCATTGGGGACTAATATGAGGTACAGTTTGACTTTTCTGTGTTATACTATATCAAGCACAGGTTTTAAGTTGGAGGATTAAAAGGACGTCATATGATGCAAACATAAATTTTTATGCCGTCAGGGGGTTAAGGAGGTTTGCATTACTAGTCTTTGTTTTAATGATTTTTATAAACTAGTAAGAGGGTATGGTTTGGGTTGAATGGTATTTTGTGCTCAGTTCATAAGTCTAATAATCATATTACCCTGCTATGGTTGTTAATTGATGAACTGATTTAGTTTCTGTTTTATCAATTGGATGGATGTGGATAATTTAAATTGTTTAACAGTATTATAACAATTTAACAGGAGTTTTATGATTATAATCATATACTGGATGCATAATAGGATCTTAATAATACATGTTTTCTATTATGCTGGTTCATGGATATACTTGATGTTCTAATGAATGTGCATCACTGGTGGATCATTTGCATTATATGTACCGGTATGGGACGGTGACATATCAGGGATGGACTAGATAAAAAAAAACTAAGTCCTACCCCTTCATACATACGGAATGGATTAACTAAAATAGTTAACTCCTACATGGATACATGTCCTGTCAACTAAAACAGTTGAACGACATAACGGATGTTTGTTTCATCTTTCTGCATTTAGGAAGGAATTTATATATATATTTATGGTACCGTGATACGAGCTTGAGTCTCCTGATCACGGTTAGGGTGCGTATATTGCAAAGGTTGGGTAGCTAGATATAGCTAATGTTCCCTGGTAGGTCTAGGTACTTGGCCGCTGAAAAGCGTGTTTTATAGGTCACCTTCTACTCAGGCTGAACTATGTTATAGGCTAGTGAGCATCCTATAGTGTGTATATATATATATGAACTATTATAGATATTGCCGAGCTATCTAGGATGTATCTGCGTATCGGGTTTATGTACGGATTGTAGTAGGATGGAACTTGCATGTGAGCCTGACCCACCTTTATTTTTCAGGTGTTCGTGAGTACCAAGCTTAGGGTTTGATCGTGGTGATGCAGATACAATCACTCACTCTTCCGACTACATAGGATTTTCTTTCTTATTTTGGTTTTGGATTTTAATTCTGTAAATGTTTTACCGGTTGGAATTATTAGGGGTCCACTAGATGGATTCCCGAGTTGTGCAGATTTGAAGGATTTAAATGTTATTAATTTATTATTTTAAGTTGAGGATTTTTATTTTAGAATTCTTTCAGTGTTTTGTTATTTTATTCTTAATTCAAATTTTATTCCTGCTTGTTTATATATTAATTGTCTGATATCCCTCGGATCTGTGCTCGGACTTGATCACCCGTGGCTCTAGAATCAAGGGGTATCACACACCCCCTGAGATTTGCTTTATTGACAACCAGATGAAAGTTAGTCTATTTTTGAACAATGACGCCCCCTCAAGTATGTTAAAATTAACAAAGACACCCCAATGGTCAATTATCAAGGTGAATTGACATTGTTACCCTCTAACCTTTAAAAGTTATTTTATTGTACCAAAAAACCCTCATCTTCCTTACCCCTACTCTCTCTCTTTACCCACACCTGCCCACCTCTTACTCTTCATCTCTGTCTCTACCTTTACCACTATAACCGCCACTACCACCATCACACTGCATCACCAAGCATTTGTTGGAAAAGGGTTTCAAGCATTTGTTTCGTGGTGATGATTGGATTGGTAACCATATGCATCACCAAACCATTCTTCACTTTTTACTCTCTCTCTTCGAACTTCACATTTTCCCCTAACATCATAGTAGATTGATGACTTTGTCATCAAAACACCAAAAAAACCCACTTTTAGATCATTTATTTTTCATGGAGATGGTGGCAGTGAACAAATCAAATTGTGAATTTAATTTCTTTCCCAAACAAGCTGGATGATCATGGGCAAATATATATATATATATAGACACACTATGAGAGAGAAAGAGAGAGCAATGGTTATTTTGGTCATTTTTAATATTATGATATGTATTATTAAAATTAATTAAAATAATGAATGGGCAATCTCGACTTTTTACACATTTTTAGAGGCTGTTTGGATTCAATTTCTTCCAAGGGGTATCATTGTTAAAAAATGGACCAAGTTTCATATGGTTGTCAATAAATCAAACCACAGGGGGTGTCACTGTAATTAACCTTTATTTTATTAGTTGGGACTTGGGAGGAATAAGACAAAAGTGGTTTGAAATATTTTAAGTAATCGCATTGGAAAATATAGCTTAGCTATTAATGATTCACTTATATTTTACACTTGTCTATGTGTTAAAATTAAATTAAATGAGAGAAAAAAAGTGCTAAAATAAAATGCGGAGGGAGGCTTATCTGAGCAAAACCATGTGAACCCAACCTTCGAACCTACGTAGGAATCGATATCCTGATACACATTTATGTACTACTTTTCTGTAGTTGTTAATGATTCTCTAATATTTTACTCATGCTGATATATATATATACACATGGTCTATGTGCCAAAATTAAATATGGAGGTCGACTTATCCGACCATCTAAGAAAAACCATGTCGGAACCTACTAGGAAGCCGAATCTCTCTCTGATATTTATTTATTTATACTACTTTTCTATACCAACAACCAATGCCTCACAACACTATGAAATGGACATTAAAATAGCAAAGAAAACGTGAATTCTCGATTTAATAGTAATATAATATTATACATACATGCAATATATATATATATATATATATATAGTTTGCCTCACTAAAGTAATTATGTTACAAGAGTATTTATATCATTATTGTTAGGCGCTGAATGTTATGCATTTTAGTCCCTTTACTTGCATGTTTTATTATCTTAATAGTAATTTATTTGTGATTTTACATTGTTTTATTATTTTTATTTATTTCAGGCCTTTAATTGTAAAATCAGTTAAGACTAGTGATTCTGAATTTTAAAAGATGACATTCCGTGGGACCAAGCAATGTTGAAGATTCAAGTCTAAATTATACTTAGAAAATAGTCCAAAAGAAGCCACAAGTTGATGAGAATGGAAAGAAGAAGAAAATGAAAAATCCTTCTCCAAAAAGGAAACTTTCGCCAAAGTTGGTAACTTGAACCCGTTTTGGTAATCGGGACGTATCTCTCTCCTCAAGTGTCAAAACAGCTAAATTCTTGTATAGGTTGAAAGGAAATTCGAAGAGCTACAATTTTGTATTTCACGAGGGTTCCCTAAAACAGCTGTTTACCTTATCAAATTGGGCTGGAAGTCTGTACGAATTTTGCAATCCTTATTTGACAGAATTTCTATGTATGTCTTCTATATGAAAAATGGAACTTTAAGGCTGATATTTTATTATTTAAAGGGAGTCCTCTACAGCATTGAATGATCATACAGAGGAGCTTGAGGCTGAGATCAGAGAGAAGCATTCAGAAGAAAGAAGAGATTGATCCATGGCGGTGAAGATGTCTTCCTCAACCATGAAGAATTCCACTCCAGTTGGCTAAACGCTTTGCTAGGGTTATGTTGTAGCCTTAACTTAGCACACTGGTTTGATTGTATTTATTTATTGGAGAACAATTTTTATCATGCATGATTGTCTAATATATGGGATTTTTAATTGACTTTTCAATAAGAATCGGTTTTAGAATTTTAATTCAATTATAAATATTTTTCTATCTTGTCTTAGATATTTTAATCTTGTGATTGAACACAACTCATTCACTTCTTGTAGTTGTGAATGAAATGATAACACAATAGTTTTTATCTGAATATAATGTTAGAAATTTAATGGATTATGCCTAGAAAAGATAGACCACCCCTAGAGTAAAATAGATAGGTAGATGGTTTATATCAATCGAAGATAATCCATACTTAACTTTAAATTATATTATTTTCTAGCTGAATTAATATGTGCGTGTAGTCATGATTAATTCCCTATGCATGTTATATGATATATCTCCAATAAATCGATATAATTGACTGGTGGTGCGACGTTAGTGGTGAAGTCATACCCCTAGTTCTTTCTCTCTATTTTCTACATCCTATTTAATCATTATTCTTTAGTTTATTTTATTTTTCTACTTAGTTAATTAATCATCACAATTCAATTATCCTACTTTCAAGTTAATTTGAAATTTAAGAAATTTGTTGACAAACTTAATTTACACAAGTCTCTTAAGTACGATACCCTTACAAGTAAGCCCTATCTGCAAAGATTCGTGCACTTGCGAATGGTACATATAAATCTCACAACAATTATTGTATAGATGTTAAAATTAAACATAGTAGCTCTGATAGGATTTCCCCTACAATGTCGACCCACCGTTCTTCCACTTGCTTCTTAAGATTCCTTTGAAAATGAAGCATCAGTATTGATTTTTTTTTTTTTTTTTTTTTTTCAATTATATATAAATGAACAAGATTAATGATAAGTAGTTCAAAAATATAATATATTTGACTTATTTATACAAGTATATAATGATATTATCATAATGTCATTAAATATGTAATATATGTATGTGCAAGTTCCTATCGTTATTCTATAAACAAATATTTACATGGCCCAAAGAAGCCCAGACAGAAAAACGGATCCAAAAGATGGCCCAACATGATTGGCAGTAATCTAGCCTAAAAAGCAAGCAAAGGCCCAAGAGGACCCAATTCAGTCGATGAACCAATTCATCGGCCGATGTCAACCGGTGGTGTTGGCGGTGGCCGTCGACGTTGATTGGAATTGTGGAGACTCTCTCGACAACAGAGGAGTAATGGGTTGTGGAAAGGACCAAGCATTTCCATGGATGAAGTGGCTGACCTTGGTTTCAAGTCGGAGTCTTTAATTAGGTACACAGAGCACTACTTAATCCAAATTATTTGCTGGTCTCTCCACTTATGAGTTCCCAAATATGTTTCAACATTCCTTGCCCTAGATACCAACTAAGTCCCATGGAAGCAAACCATCTATGTTCGTCTCAAATGCCACTTTGCGTTGCCCAAATCATGTACTCTAACTTCAATACCAGATCAAACACCCACTGCGTCATCTCTGAGGTATGCCTCCAATCAATCAGTTTTTAAATTAAAACATTCATGTTCATAAAATTGGGTACTTAGAATAACTCTTTAATCTCATGTCTTGAGCTCAATTATTAACAAGTTGGGTACTTAATTAGCATGTTAAAAAATTGGGTAATTAGCATAATGGCATCTTGGGTAGTTTGGCAAATCAGAAACAAAACCCTATAGGGCGTATAATAGTAGTTTCAAGCTCAATTAGGCAAGCCATATTGCTGCTTATGATATGAGAGTAACAGTTTGAAGTTGTTTCCAGTTCTAACAAACTGCTGAGGAAAGTTAATTCCAGTGTTACTCTTCTCACTTGTTATTCTTTTCTGTTCTTCTTTTCTACATTTTTTAATTAGGTTAATTACTTAATTTTACTATTTTTTCAGTAACTAAACAAAAATAGACATGCAACTTATTCAAATACTATATATTAATACTAATTTTTGAAATATTAATAAAAATGCTTTCCATTAAAGCTCTCACCTTAGTCCTCAATTTGTATGGAGTTGATCATATCACTAACAACTCTTTTCTTTTCCTATTGTTTTTAAAAGGATAGAGAAAACTGTTTGATTTGTCATTATTTTTTCCTCATTTTCCTTTTTCTTTCCTCATTTGTAAAACTACATGCTATTATACTAACAATCTTTTTCTTTACCTTTCCCTTCTTTTCTTTTTTTGTTTTTCTTCCCCTCCACAATTCCTTCCATTCAAATGTTCTGTAGTAAGTAGTCATCAATAATAGAATAATTTAAACCATAGACCTCATCTACCTAGCGTTGGGACATTGCCCCTCATCTACATAATGTTGGGTTGGCCTGAAGCTCATGTGCTAGATGCCCATCAATGGTTTCAAATTGATATTTGGGCATTTGTATATCCTATTTTTATTATCTTAAGATAAGATTTCCCTTTCATCATGGTTAAAAAATCAATAAATAATTGTTGTATCTATTCAGAAGAAGCCCTTTTTTTTTTTTTTCTTTTTTTATCATTTCCTCCCTTCTTATCCCACTTAATTTTTGTTTTATTGTAATTGTAGCATCTGTTGTCAGTGTTTTATTATGCTTGTATAATCCACAACTTGCCCATAAAATAAGATACAATCATAGTTGACCGACCTAACAACTCACCGTGGTAGGCACCCATAATATTTATTTTCAAACTGTAAGTTCCTTGGCAGACAGCTTCTGCTTGTAAACTGTGTACTGCATTCACAATCTCACCACCCCTCTTAATTTGTGTGTTGGGATTTGGATTTCGGGCTGAAAACAATTTTTCTTAGAACTTTTTGTAATTACTGAAAGAGAGAGAAAGAGATGCAGTTTGAACATTTCGGCCACAAGCATCCCTTGACCCTCTACGATCAGAACCCAAAGATTATCAAATAAAAAAATGCATTGGGTGCAAGGTGTTCATCACAAGTGCTTTCTATTATTGCGAAGTTTGCAAAAGATGCGATTATTTCATCTGCAGATCATGTTTTAAATTGCCTCTAGAGGTGTCACACCCCTTTCATGAACATCCCCTTACTCTTCTCGCTAAATCACCTTACGAATCAGATGATGATTCTGATTCATATGAAAATTTAGCTTACTGCAACGCCTGCTCGAACATATGTGGCTTCACTTTCCACTGTTCTAAATGTAAATTTGACCTGGACGTCAATTGCGCTAAACTGATGCTCATCACCAAGAAGAAGAAGAAGTACTACCACTACGCAAGTAGTGGTCACAACGAGGAGGAGGAGGAGCTGGAGGAGCAACAAATCACTCACCCGCATCCCTTGATTCCTTGCTATAGAGAGAACGAGGACATTGATTTTCTGTGCTCTGTGTGCGAGCTACCCATCAAGGGCACCATCCATGCTTGTTTAGATTGCGGATCTATCCTTGATAAATCATGTGCCCAACTCCCGCAGCAGATTACACATCACTTCCACCCACATCACTCTCTCACTCTCAAAGGCTCCCCTAATGTTAGTTATCGTTCTGGTTCTCGTTGCAAAACCTGTCGGAATTTTGAGTGTCGTTTCTGCTACAGCTGTTCTGACTGTAAATTTAGAGTGGATGTCAGGTGCGCTTCTCTTATGCCCAAACCCATAATAACAAACTATGATGATCAAAGTTTAGAAGAGAAACACCTGCAGGAGGTTGTTCAAGTAGTGACAAGTACCATTCACCCACCCGCATGCTTTAATTCCCTGTCACACCAATGGGAATTTTACCTTTGCCTGTTCTGCCTGTGAGTTATCCATCGAGGAGGGTTAAGTCTACGTCTGTCTTGAATGCCGGTATTTCCTGCACAAATCATGCGCTGAATTGCCACGACAGATCAAACACCCCTTTCATCCACTGCATCCTCGTGCTCCGTGATAACAATATAGATGGTAACTACGAATGCGAGGCATGTGTGTGTTTTGTTTCGGGCTTCAACTACTGGTGTGCCGAGTGCAAGTTTGTGATGGATGTTATGTGTGTGTCCCTAACGTACTCCACTTTCAAATTAATAATTCACAAGCACCCTCTTGCTTTCTTCAACGAGAACAAGCGTCAAAGGCAAAGCTTTGTTAGTTGCAGCTGTTGTAAAATTTTCATTGGTTTCCCTTTCTTCCGTTGTGTGCCATGCAATTTCGTTATCAAGTTGTGCTGTTTTCCGATATTACCACGAACATATAATAACCATCACGTACATTCACTCACCTTCACTGATTCTCCCATCAAAGACAATTCTAATGATGATTCTGACTCCGAATATTACTGTGACCTTTGCGAGGAAAGAAGGGCACTCCAAGAGCCATCTTATTATTGTAAGGAATGTCAATATGTTGCTAAAATTTCTTGCATATTTGATGAGGTACACCCAAATTTACAGCTATTAGAGTAGACTTGGATTGCTTACTATTTGATTTCATATGAGCTTTTATACTCTAGTTTTGGTCTTTGCATCCCAGCAGCAGGATTTCATGGTTTTAAAATGGAATTTTTGGTTTTAATAAATATTATTTCAAAATATGATGAAAATTGTATTATTTAAAAATCTCTTGAAAATTCTTAAAATTTTCATAGTAATTGAAAATTACTAAGTAGACTTTTCATTATGTCCAACTCTGCTCCTCTTTTGCTTCTCTAAATTCCAAATCATTCCAGATGGCTAATTCATACTTTCATTTGATTTCCATTCCTTTTCTGAAATCCCAATCTGGCTTAAAAGGTTTTGATTCTACCGTTTTTTCTTGCATTTTTTTTCACAGTAGGTTCTTACAAATATGGTTAAATTGTTTCATACTTGCTACGATTTGTCTTTCATTTTCTTGTAAATACATTGTTGGCGGAAACGGGAAATTTATCCGAGTATCCAGGATATGCCAAATATGTAAAATGAGTTACAAAAGCTACTCAACCTTTATGCAACTTATTTACTTCATATTAACCAAATACGTATACCATGATCTTATTAACAAAGATTTCTATGCTGAGTAAAACGTCTCCAAGTGATGGACCATTCGCATTTTGACAAAAAAATCTGATTATATACTTCAACAATACTAGTTGTGACTTGTGAATGAAAAATCATTAGATAGTAGCCCATATATATAAATATATTGACATTAATCCTCACAAAGGATGGTTTTCATGTCTTATGTAAAAATAATATTGTTTTTGTTACATTAACAATGCTTTAGAGCCAAACTCTTTACTTTTTGGTTGCTTATCAGATTCTTCAATCTTTACAAGAGAGGGAGTTATCCTTGGCTGCTGGACTAGATGATAAGAATGATATCATGAGAATGGAGATTAGATATTCATTAGTAGATAAGGCTTCAGATGATCCTGTTATTGCGGCACTAGATAAAGAGATTGTAATGCTTGGAGCACAATTATCTGCCCTAGGAACAAAAGCAGAGGCTCTTGTAACAAAAATGGAAGAATTGCAAGTGAGACATGTCCAACATATTGGTGACTACCAAATTGGTAAGTTGTTCTCTACTCAGTAGTAGTAGGAAAAAGTTATCACTTCTATTATTGGGTACGTGGAGTGTGTGATTAATATGTAATTTGATGATTTGAGAATGGTCCTTGCCCGGTGGTCTTGATGATAAGAATGATGCAGGAGTAACAGAAGTAGAAACAAGAAATGCATCAACAGATCAGGAAACCTTTTTAAGTGCCACATCAGTCATCCTGCCATTACCAAACTAGATGAAGAGATTGTGATGGTTGAAGCTGAAGGAAACACAGTGATAGCGAAGTTGGATGAACTTGAGCACAGCTATCAGGAACACGTTGGTGGCTACCAAATTGGTAAGCTCTACTTTTATACTCATTTTTAATTGTGCTAAGTTCTTTTATACTCATTTGTTATTGGAAGAAGTTATCATGTTTGTTGTTGGACATGTGAACTGTACTAATATATACCTGACCAAAAAAAAAAGAAAAGAAAAAGAAAGTGATGAAGTGTAGGAACATGTAACATCATAAATTGAAAGAAATTAATGTTGTAGGTGTTTCATGTGTTATGTGACTTATGTTGGTATACTTAAATACACAAGGAAAATGATAAAGCGTCACCAAAGGGCCTCTAGCCCAATGGTATAACCTTCCCATCCTCAAAGAGGAGGGGAGGAGTTCAAGTCTGGGTGTTTCCAAAAGTGTGTGAAAGTACTTACCTGATTACTCAAATACTAATTTCTTGGAATCAGTTTTAATGCCCTCTTCCCTCATTCTTCCAGCTATACTTCACAAATTTTCTAGACAAAATAAAGTTTTGGCTCAAACTTGTCAAAATGTGGTGGTGAATAAAACCTTATAGTTTTTATATTTTTATTTGCTTATTTCAAAAAATATATACGTTATTAATAAATCAGTTATGTTTTCAAAAGAAACGTAATTTCCCAAAAATTACATCAACAATTGTGATGTATGATGTCTGGAGTTGTTTGTTAATCTATAATACATATCCCAATTTTTTATATTTTTGTAAGCTTTCATCTTTCTCAAGTAAGAACTTCAACAAATATGCATGAAGACTTGCAATTGTGTTGAGAGCTCGGAGCATTATTAACATAGATCTTCATCGTCTAGTTTTCTTCTTTGAATCCTCACTTTAACAAATGTTCTCTGGAAGAGTAAAGGATCACTACAACTCCTGACAAATTGTTCATGGAGCAATCGTGTTCTACGTCAACAACCCATTTGCAAGGTAGTAAGAATGAGTCGATTTGAGTTACTAGGGGTAAGTATAAAACAGAAACCAGGTCTTGGCAAAGAAGTATGGACATCAATCTAGGTCAGAGTCAATGTAATTTAATTTGCTTCTGTATAGAGGATTTCCTTACTCCAGATTATGGTCCATGATTTTATTTGCTGAGATTTTCCGCATAAAAAATCAGGTGTGTTGATTCCTTTACTTGCTTTACTTTACTAATTATTTGTGATTGATGAAGATTTAAAATGTTAATCAACTTGGAAATTTAATCAATCACAAAAGTTGAACAATGAGACCTATTCACCCCTCTATGTCTTTAGAAATATTATATTACATTAACTTAACTAACCACTTCTGCACAACGTAACTCACATAAAAGAGAGAGACAGAGATTTTGTTAATCCTGTTTTTCACACCATATATTAGTAGATACTTAATTAAGAGACCCATACTAAAAAGAACTCTTTATTTGGATACATCATGCAGCAGATATAATGTGTGTAAATCTGAGTGCATGAGTGTGGGAATATATTGGTGTGTATGTGGTGGTGGCCATATGCTGGTGCGATAACCAATGAGTCTACCAGAAAATTAGAGAAAAAAAAATCCCCAAACCACAGGCATTAAACTCTGAATCTGAGTAATTTGATACATGTAAACATCAAAGCATCAAGTTACTTGACCAAACATAAAGACAATCTAACTGACAACTTTTAAAAGTATAAACTTACTGAGTACCATTGGACTATAGTAACATTAAAGAACAAATCATAACTGGATTCACTGGAATTGTGCTTATTTGTCTGGGCGAACAATTCAACCGATGGGGTTTTTATCCACTTGATGCAGTGGATAAGCTCAAGTGTGGGTCCTATCCACTACATCAAAGGGATAGAAACTCTTTGGCTATACAAATAGGTCAGAGAAATATGCCTAAGAATCATTTTCCTTTCTCTTTTAAACTTTTATTGAACCTTGTTCACTTTGTCTAGATTAGCGTGAGGCATTTTGATGTAATTTGATTTGTGTATATGCGTGTGCGTGTGTGAATGGGAGAGAGGGATACCCCTTCCACCCACTACAATGTCAGCACACTGCTTTCTCCCTCCTTGTTCGGCCACCTGATGATTCTGTGATTTTCACTTGCAATGCGTGTAGTTGCCTTTGCGAGGACAGCCTCTTACATTGCTTCCACTGTAGATTTTACTTCGACCTTGCAAGTGCTTCACTAATGCCAACAAATGAAAACTATGAACAACCAGATTGTCCAACATCTCAATCACCCACACCTCTTCATTGCCTGTTAAAATTAGTTGCTCAGTTTCCCTGCTCTGGATTTGAGTAAACCATCAAAGTACCGTACGTCTATGTGAACCTCCAAGACCACTTTGTGCTGCAGAAATCATGCACTGGACTTGGATACAAGATCAAACATCATTAATCCACTACAGCTTTTGTCCTCTATCAGAAAGGCACTGTTTTTTGCAAAATACGCCTGTGCATGCATTGAGAAATTTGTGCCTTTTCCTACTGCTGCACAGTGCGTCAACAGTCTAGCACCTTATAAAACATTATATGCGATATAATTGTGTAATGTATGATGCTATACTAAATTTTTGATTTCATGGAATATGGTAAGGGGAGATGGGGTTCCTATTTTGCTTAGAAGTATGAAACCTTCTTTGCTATTCAATTTGAAATTTTCTTCTTCTTCTTTAGTCTGTCATAATATGACTTGGAGTACTGCTGCGATGCTTGTGTGAAAATAATAATAATAATTATTATTATTATTTTTTCCATCCAACATTTTTTTAGGTAAGTCACACTTTGTACTCATTTGTCCCAATTGGCATGTTGCACATGTTCCTTGCATCATCCGGGATAGACCTACGTATTAATAAATTCTCGAAACTATACATAATAAGTACTATAGTCTGGAATTAATTGCTTTTCTAGTTTGTCTTGACTTTATTTATGTTTCTTTAAAGGTATAATACCTTCACTGGGAAAAGGGTGGTCATCTGTGGATGTTGTTGACAACTCTGATGAGGCGGTTGAAGAAGACTGCAATGTGGAAAATACGGAAAAGGAAGAAGAAGATCAGGAGAGTGATGGTACAGTCTCATCTCTTGCTGACCTAGAAGAAGAGATAATGGCAGTAACAGCAAAGTTAGAGGCACTCAAGAAGAAACATGCGCGTCATGTTGAAAGAAAATCCAAACATAAGTTGTTGGAGGAAAGCTCCCCTAGAAAATCTTCTATAGTTCTGAAAAAGTGTTCAAGATTAGAACTGTTCCATGGAGGCACGTCCCGGTCGAACAATAGTGCTTGAATGGGATTTCAGCATGGAGTAGCAATGGTGGCGGTGTCTGCTGTTATGTTAGGGATTGTGCCTATTGGTACCTAGCCTGTTAACAAGTTAGGTAGTCAGCATGTCAGCATTTTCTTGGGTACTTAATTTAGCAAACCCGCACGTTGGTACCGTATCACAAGTGATTGCGTTATGGGCCTAATAGCAGCAACTTGACTGGGGTATTGTCACATTGTGTTCAGATTCATGGTTCGCCGTATTGTCCGATACGCTACCATTTTTCAAGTTCGATACGCGATCCGTATCAGTTAGTTTACACTTACTTTGTCCGATTCCGTTACACTGCGAACCATGACTTCAGATGCACCCTGAGGCCTAATAGCAGGAACTTGACTTGGCTATTGTCACATTGTGTTCATATGCACCTTGTTTGAAAGTTGTGGTTGAAAGGTTATATGTGTTATCAACTGATGATGTATTGTGCCTTTTCCTATTTGTTTTGTGCTTATGTTATTGATATATCAATGATGCATATTGCTAAAAGGCTTGGCTCAAACTTTCTTCTGATAGTCTCCTCGTGTGTTTCTAGTTTTGTCTAGTTTAGGACTAATGCTTCACAACATAATCTTATGGAATAATATTTATCCATCTTATTTTTCGTGAAAACCGGATTGATTTCTAGTTTGCCTACTCAAATTGCACCCTTACGACTGATGCTTTTATAATTTAGATGGTCCATGTGCTAACCCCTTGCAAAACAATAATTATGCACAGAAAGTAATACCATGCTTCCTAAGTATGATATTTATAGAATTAATTATTTTTAAACATAAATTATCTCTCATAGAAATAAAAAATAAAAAAATTGTTCGTGTAATAGTTTTTCATTCACTTTTTGGTCTCACTTGCTACAATTTTTTTTTTTTTTTTCTTCGGTATACAATTATATATATTATTTTAAAAAGAAGTTTTGACTGTTATAAGTAGGAGTTTTAATTAGTTGGTGAATATCTATTTTCTTATATTTAATAATTAGATGGATAAATATTCACTTTTTTTTTTTTTTTTTGGAAATATTTTAACATCTGTCAATAAAAGTCAGCCGAGATGAGAGGGGACAATAGAGAGAAATAAAAAAAATAATAATAAAAAAAAGAAGCAGGAAAAAATAAAAAATAAAAACACGGTCCAGTGGAGAGAGAAACCTAAATATGAGTTTTGGATCTCTTTATTTTCATGATATATTGTTTTATTTTCTCCCTACGAATATAGATTGAATCAAGTAAATTCTTATCTGGATTTTGTATGAATATATCTATTTGGAACGTTTCCGCACAACAAACACCCAATGTTGTGTTCGCAACAGCTGGATTTTGGTGATTTTCCATATCCAATGTTGTCTTCAAAATTTAAATAAATAAAATATTTACATCTACTCAACCTATATACTATTGGGAAAATTACATATAAATGGAGTTAAAGTTCTATATTTACTTAGAGACTGAGTCAAAGTTCCATATTTCTCTAAAATGGATTGCTGAGGTGGCACATGGTTTTTTACTGTTTAGAAAATTGTGGTGCCTAAAATGCCATTCCCTAACAAAAAAGTAGTACCTTCAGTTCAAAAAAGTAGTACCTTCGCGGGTGTTTAAAAAACATGGTACCTGGACACCAAAAAGTAGTACCTTCAGTTCAAAAAAATAGTACCTTCGAAGAAAAAGTAGTACCTTCGCGGAAGGATATTTTAGGTACCACAATTTCTAAACAGTAAAAAACTATGTGCCACCTTAGCAATCCATTTGAGAGAAATATGGAACTTTGACTTAGCCTCTAAGTAAATATGAAACTTTGACTCTATTTATATGTAATTTTCCCTATACTATTCAATATTGACAGGACATATATCTGACATCTTTTTGACAAAAAAACGTTACTTGGAAAATTTGACTTTAAACAAAAATTTCGATTATATACTACAAAAATAGTAAAATACTTCTTCAGAATAAAAATAATTAGATAGTGGCCCATTATATAAATTTATTGACATTCATCCTCATAAAACATGGTTTTCATATGTGTTATTTTTTTTTATTTTTTTATTTTTTTTTGTATTAATAATGTATTAGAGCCAAACTCTTTAGCTCTTGGTTGCTTGTCAGATACTTCCTTTACAAAAGAGAGTGTAATTTGATAAAGAGAATCTAATATTTCAAGAAGAGTTCGATGCACGAAGTTAGAGACACCAATAAAAAATTTGAATGAACTTAAAGAGAGACGTGCATAACATATTGGTGACCACCAAATTGCTAAGTTTTTCAATATTCGGTTGTATTAACTATCAGAAAAAACTTATATTATTGGGCATGTGACGTGTGATTAATATATAGCATGATTATTTAAGAAGGGGAAAATTACATATAAATAGAGTTAAAGTTCCATATTTACTTAGAGGCTGAGTCAAAGTTCCATATTTCTCTAAAATGGATTGCTCCTCCCTAACAAAAAAGTAATACCTTCAGTTCAAAAAAGTAGTACCTTCAGTTCAAAAAAGTAGTACCTTCGGAGAAAAAGTAGTATCTTCGCGGGTGTTTAAAAAACATGGTACCTGGACACCAAAAAGTAGTACCTTCAGTTCAAAAAAGTAGTACCTTCGAAGAAAAAGTAGTACCTTCGCGGAAGGGTATTTTAGACACCACAATTTTTAAACAGTAAAAAATCATGTGCCACCTCAGCAATCCATTTTAGAGAAATATGAAACTTTGACTCAGCCTCTAAGTAAATATGAAATTTTGACTCCATTTATATGTAATTTTCCCATTTAAGAAGTTACTTGGCTGGTGGACTTGATGATAAGAATGAAGCAGGGATAATGAAAGTAGAGATTAAAAATGCGTCAACAGATAAGAAGGCATTAACTGTTGCAAGAGATAATCCTACCATTGTTGAACGAGATGAAGAGTGCATATTGCTTCAAGCAAAGGTTGATGCACTTAAAACAAAATTAGAGACCGTAAGAACAAAATTAGAGACCGCAAGAACAAAATTTGATGAATTTAAGGAGAGACGTGCACAACATATAGGTGATTATCAAATTGGTAAGTTATTTTGTACTTAGTCGTATTTGGAAAAAATTACCTTGTTCATTGTTAGGCATGAAGTATGATTAATATGTAACCCTTGGCAGGTGGACTTGATGACAAGAATGATGGAGGGGTAAGGGAAGTGAATGCTAGAAATGCACCAATAGATGTGAAGACCTTTTCAACTCTAGCTTCAGATCATCACATTGTTGCCAAACCAGATGAAGAGATTGTAATGCTTCAAGCTGAGGTAGATGCACTGACAACGGAATTAAAGACACTAACCACAAAGTTAGATGAATTTAAAGAGAGACATCCGCAACACGTTGGTGACAACCAAATTCGTAAGTTTTTTTATACTGAGTTGTAATAAATAAATAAATAAGTTATCATGCTTGTTATTGGGCATGGGGAGTGTAGTAAAATGTGATATGATAATTTGGAATACTTTGGAAGAAATCATTCTGACAGTATATGCATTTTATTTCATTAAGAGACAGAGGTACTCCATTTTGTTCAGCCCCCAGAGTCCAGACGAGTTGTGTTTTCATCAAGGAAGGTGATTTTAAAATTCCCAGATGACCGTTGGTTACAATCCAGTGAGTGCAGAAAAGAGAACTCTTCCCTCTATAATTAATAATTCAGAAAATTTTTAGACAAAATAAGGTGCTGGATGAAACTTCTACTGAAACTCGGTGATGAATAAAACATTATATTTATATATATTTTTTTTGTTTATTTTAAAAATATACTGTGTATGTTAATTAATATATCCATTATATAATCAAAAGATAGTTTTCTAAAAGTTATACCAGCAGTTGTGATGCCTTACAACAAGAGTTGTGTTTTCATCAAGGGAAGGTGATTTTAAATTTTACATCTGGTAAGGTCTTGATGCTAAAGGAGGTTTTACATGTGCCTGAAATCTGAAAATTTTATTTCGATCGAAACCTTTATGGATTAAGAGGGGATTTAAGTTGGTTTTGAATCTGATAACTTTGTGTTTACCTAAACAAAAAAAAAAAATACAAGAAGAAGGTATAATATTACATTTTTTTAGGGAATTTAAAACTAAATGTAATTGCATAACTATATAATGAAATGTGTTTTATTTAATAAAGAGTACATTGATGTGTGGCACAAACACTAATGTTAATTAGATCTGAGATAATTTTCCCTTTAAATATTCGGGGCGAGGTAAAGCATATATTACTTTCAGTTTCGATCAACCTGTTATATTCAAAATAAAATACCTTTTAGAAAATAATATTGAACTCATTATAAAATGTGAAATGGTAGAATAAACAACATTTTTCGAATTAATGGCTTTGATAAGCCCTCCCGCAATAATCTATAAAATCATTAGAATTAATTTCTTGACAGCCCAAAGCATTAGGAGAAGAGAACGGGACGGATCCTCTCTAAGAAAAATTCTCTCCTATCATCTACAGGTATTAATCCTACAACTACTAAGGCGTCACGTCAATAACTCATTTGACTCACTCATATACTAAAAGTTACTATACTTTCTTAAAATATCTAACTATGTTAAATTACAAATTTACCCACATTAAAAAAACTTTTTTTCACTTTTTCCTCTCTTCCTTCTCTCTCCTATATATTTTTATACACATGGCTAGATATATATATATATATATATATATATATATACACACACACACAGATTATATACGATTCAACTCTCTTCATTATTGTTGAATTGATTTTTTATTTTTTATTTTTGTCAATTCCAATTAAAATTGATTATGATACTTCAACTTGTATTTATACCCGATTTAGGAAATTCAATTATAGTTCTCCAATAATATATATTTAAGAGTTTGAATAGTTTTGTTGATTGCCATCACCAAGCATTCGAATTATTAATTGATTCGAAAGCTTTAAGCTTGAACAGTTTTGTTGATTGAAGGTTTGAAGCATTTGTTCGCCACTTTTCAACGGATTCTTGTGAACCCAATTCAATGAGACACAAAATTCTTTGGAATGACGTAGAAATAAAGAAAGAAAGAGGAGGTTTGAGAGAGAGAGAGAGAGAGAGTTGTCAATAGCGGAACAAGAAAATGAGCAAACTGGGTCTGTTCTAGCCATGTGTGTGTGTATATATATATATATATATATATATATATATATATATATATATATGTTACATATAAGAGAGAGAAGGAAGAGAAGAGAAAGAGAAAAAAAGTTTTTTTTAAATGTGGGTAAACCTGTAATTTAACATAGTTAGATATTTTAAGAAAGTGCAATAACTTTTAATTTATTTAGTGAGTCAAAGAAGTTGTTGACGTGGCGCCTTAGTAATTGTAGGATTAATACCTGTAAATACCTAGAGAGAATTTTTATTGGAGATGATCTGTTCCTGAAGAGAACTGCCATAATTAAGTTATCTTTTTAATAAGTCGTTGCAAAATTTTGATTTATTACCTCTCTTTCTATTTCTTTGATGATAATTTTGCTTGTTGTTGGGATATATTATTTAATAGATTTATGCACTGGTC